AAAATCCCATTAAAAATATAAGTTTTATGTCTTTCAAGTTTGGGAAAATAATTGTAAAGAATATGACTTTCAAAACAGTTCTTTTACATATTAAATAAATATATTTAGGTCTTTATTTAGCAATAATAATAAATTTAGAAATATTAATCACTTGACGAGGTATTAGGATATTTCCAAATTGATTTACAATATTTTAAAACGGGTTTACAATTATTAAACTAAATAATAACTAATGGATAGAGAATAACCTTGAGAGAATATAATGCTTCTTATGAATTATTGATTCAGCATGTTTAAAATTTATCCCATGTTATATTATAGGAAAACTTTTTATTAAATATAAAATGTCATACTTAAATGGTAATATGTAGGTGATATTAAAAGTATATTATGGCCTACATATTCATAATTTGAATTGTTCATATAGAAGTGATGATGTTAAGTAATGTATTCCCATATTAACTGAAGAAAGGTACTCGAGTGGAACTAGAATAGTTTTTCTACTTATAATTTAATGAGATGTTATCTTTTGTTGGCATCATTTTATGTCGAGTATTGTAATGATGGTATTCGTTTCTTGCCTAATTAGCTGTTCAAGTCTCGAATAATAGTAAACATTTCAGTAGCTCGTAAATAACAAAATAATCTTAATGCATTAGGTTTTGCAAAATCATTACATGGAAAAATTAACTTAAAATCTGACATCTAACAAAAATTAATTATCAAAATTTCTATTTAATAATAATTTGATTGAAATAAATGCCAAATGAAAGGAATTTTTCCTTCATTTTGTATTTTGAGGATGAATTGTTATTGATATATATCAATACATAAATAAGATTAAATATTATAAATTTAAAATGGATGTATAGTTTTAATTTGCACCTACGTGTTTAATACAAATGTTAATATCGTTATTTCTTTTTAAATATAGTGCCCTATATTATAGTGTAACGTTTGGTTAATGAAAGAAAGATCATTGAATTTTAAGCATTATATATATGTTTTTTTTTTTTAACTTTTCAAAGCTTAATGCAATATAAAACTATTATATTTTGATAATGTTACTGCTCTATTTTCATATATAACGTGAATAAATATAATAGCCACAAGGTCCACTCACGATTAAAAGATTCAGATACAGAATTGTTATTCTCTTTCAAAGCAGATCACTAAACAAATAGTAGACTTTCCTATTGGGTGAAGTTCAAAATAACAATATAATAAACTTTCATATATAAACACTGTTGTTGAAGTTTGCTTATTTTGTTTGGAAATGGAGACCTAGGCCTATATTTTAATAAAAATAAAAAAATATGACTTTTAAGCATTATTTAGGACAAAATTAACATAAGAAAAAATCATAACATTTGTAGAATATAAGAAAATAAATAAGGTAATGAATATTTTAATGAATAAACGAATTATTGCTAAATATTAAACTTTTAATGTACAGTATAATGTAATTTTTGTTTATTAATCTGATTTTAAATTATTGGGAATTGGCGATGGTTTGCATTTAAATATGAAGTTTAAACTCATAAATCAAATTTAACTTCTCTATCTAAATGAATTATGTTAATAAAGATACTATAAGTGGAATAATTAAATGTAGCTAAAATAGTAACACCACATTACAATTTCGTATTACAAACAGCTTATAGATATAATTTGAGACATAAAATGGCTATCACCTCTCCTAGATGTTTACTGTACTAATTGAATCAACTTCAGCCGGCTGTTGGGTTTCCTTATACTGTAATTTGGTAGATAAAATATGTTATAATAATAGTTAATATCCTGCTGGTAACGACGAACTAGAAATAAGTAAGAAGGGAACAGATGTGATATTTTTAAATTTAGATCTAATTCCATTTGGTTGGAATAAGAATGAAGGCGATATCTTAAATTCAAATTGTGTCTATAACATTAAATATATGCAGAATAAAAACTCAACAATGTATCAGGAATAGTTTTTGAAGAGGAATTTTTGTTAAAGGACATTTTTTGTTCGTCGTGTGACTTTTTTAAAACATATTTACATGTTTCTATGAAAAAGAATGTTGCAATTATAAACAGTATTCAAGGAAAGAATATTATTTTAAAACATTTTTCACTTTCTTATTAATTTATTTCGTAAATATATTTGTAAAGATATATATTTTTATTTGAAAACAGTTATTAAGATAGTTTCAACTTTCTATTCATTTTCTACTTGTGACAGGTCGACGATTTTAAATTTTATGCGTATTTTATAGAGCATCAGAGCAGATTCATTTGAATGTGACAAATCTTTTAATAAAATTTATATTTTAAAGTAAGTCTAAGTAGAAATTTATATTCAAATACGCCATCGGTTTTCTTATGATTGGCTTGCTATCGTTGCAAACTCGATTCGATTCGTTAGACACATTTTAGATTAAACCTTTCCGCTTGAGGCATACTAAATTGCATTTAGTTCCGGAGAGCAATAAAACAGAAATAACCAGAATACCAAAAACAATAAGGGAAAGAATTATCCAAAGCTTAAAATATTTCAGTTAAGACATATTTTAAAACAAAAGTTATTAATTTAGAAATACGGTATCTCTTAGAAGAACGAACATTTCTATATTAATAAATACTGTAATAAGTTTAGAATTTTCTATAAGGATTCTATAGCCACATATATATATATATATATATATGCCTTTTCACTAAATGATCTCATTTTAAGTTATCGGGAGTTATATAATTTAAATATTATGTAACATTGTTGCTGTTATTATAGGGAAAGCTAGTAGAATAAACTTTTACTGAAAGGTGCTTCATTCAAAAAACGAATCGGTTATATCTATAATCTTATGTGAAAAGTGGTGGCTGGTGAGATTTTCTTATGCAGCTAGGATTATTATATTGATTAGTTAATTAAAAGTGTAGTGTCTAGGTAGAACAAAGGCCGTCTATTTTCTGTTTAACGTTGAGAGTAGATCGTAGATATTTGAATTTGAAATGATGCGTATGTACGTACTGTACATTTTTAATAAAATAAATTTCATTTTCTTTTATTTTTATAAGCAGACGAATTAATTACAGTATATGAAAGTCTGTTTACCTTACTAGTGAAACACAATAGTCATTGAACAATAACGAAATTTTATCTTAAGAGTGTAATGAGCTGAAAGAATGTGTAATAAATTGAGGTAGTAATTACCAAAAGATAAAGCAGAATCAGTCGTAAACACGTTTTCGTTGTCCTATTAGAAATATTTGATTGAATGAATATATACTGTACTATACCTTTTTTCTTAAACATTTAACTAATTCTAAGTAAATTAAAATAGAAAATGGTTTTGAAATTAATAAAATTCTATTATTTTCTGTTATTTAGTAATTAAATTCGAAATTGATTCAAATACAGAGTATTGAAGTTTAATCTTAACTTTTATCGATTCGAATTTTAATTTTACGTATCAATAAATGATAATATAATTAAGACAGATCTTTCTTAATTAATGTAGTAAAGTAAAATGCATGATTTTAAAGTAACATTTATTTTATTAAATTTTTAAATTATATTAATTAACAATTTTATAAAGAAATTTACTGATCGTCCATTTATGATATTATAAAATCTATAGACAGAAATACGAATATTTAACATTATAACATTATATAAAAATAGTATGTACTGTACAATACTTATTATGTTGATATACTGTACATTTCTTTATTTAATTTTTTCACATATATATTGTTAAATAAATTACTCTCTGTGTGGATTTGCTATCAAATATATTGTAAAGTAAAACTTGAATAGTTTATATATTACATTATTTTTAATGATAAACATATCAAACGTCTTGCTTTTTAAGGATCAACATATTATTAAAAATAATATAAAATATAAAAGCTATACTTTTTATTCTAAATTTTATTTTTAAATATATTTGATAACAAACCCTTGTAGCATGTAATTTATTGATATATAATAATAAATATATAACAGAAAATAAATATTTTTATAAAAATATTCTTCTGTAAGGATATATTTTAATTAATGATTAATTAAATGAAATATAATTTAGTTTCACTATTTTTATATACTTTTTTAAAGTAATAAATTAAGTTTTAGTTTTTAAGTTAAAGTTTAATATAATATCTGAATAAAAAAGAAATTAAATATTAAAATGATTATTATATATACTATTACATTGTTACATCATGTAATTTATAAGATACCGATATCAATTAAAAATTTATATACAACTTTAATCTACTTTCAGAAATAAATCGTTACTATAAGGAAAATAAAGTATTGCACTTTGGCTAATTATTTTTACCTTTCTCTTCGGACGATCATTTATAAAGATAATAATTGGATGTTTGTTACTTTATCATTAAATCAAAATGTATTTATCTAAAGATCTGAATGGACAATGCACTTGAAACTGTAAAAAAAAAAAAACCCTTCGAAAAATATAACATAAAAACAATAGCCTCTTCGCTATTATTGTAATAATAAATGTTAAATCATGGGATAGCTAGCTTTGAGGATACTTGTGTTATTATTAACGAAATATTATATATACATGTATTTTAATTTAAAAGAAATTAGTTCTTACGCTATACAATATCATAAATAAAAATTGTAATTGATATAATAAAAGTTAAATTAATGATCCTTGTTTGCATTAATTTGGTAAAATAATTACATTATTACAATTTGTACACGAGCATTCAAGATAAATTATTTATTAAACGTGCTTTAGCATAACGATCGCATCTCGTCAGACAACGGTGAACATAAAAAAAAAAGAAATAAAGTAGAGCATGCTCAGTAAACGTTATCAACGGTCGGTGAGAGTCGGGTCTAGGTGACAAACCTCGTTGATGTAGGACATTAGCATGGCCTGGAGTAAAAAACAATTATTGCTATTTATATTTCGAGTTAAGACAAATTGAATACAGGTTAATCAGTCGTTTATACATGATATTGAAATGGAAATTTTATATTTTAGGACACAACAGTTTATTATGATGAGTTCTATGTATGCCCAACTTTTGGTAGTCATTTGTGTGGTATTTTTTACATCGGAAATCGTAACTCCTCATGTACCTTTATTTTACTTTGAGGTAAGTTTTAGACATATTTTCTACTTAAATATTAATTTCATTTCTATAAATTAATCTTATTATATTCTGTTATAGGGATTTTATATGTTTCTTTATTCCGTGAGTTTGTTGTTTTTGTTCTACGTGTATATTTATCTACTGAGAGATCCGCATATAGGCCTACCGAGTACACACATGAAATCTAGCAAACTTAGTATTTTGGATAGTTTGAAGAAAATAACCGAAAAATCACCGAAATTAGAAGTAGGAGATGGTCCAATTCCACCTCGGTTAAAAAAACATCGAGTTTCAGAAAATGACCGGAGTCACGGCAGCCTTTTTCTTAGAATCGGTGCCATTGGTGAGTTTCAGTTCGGATTAAAAGTACAACAATACAACTTCCGGTTGTCAAAGTTAACGTGCCACCTACTTTCTCTTTTCAGCATTCGGCTTGGGTACAATGGTCTATAATGGCTTGGAATTTGGATCTTTTTTCGAGTATCCATCTACGTCTCCTTGTTACAGCATCCTATTAGGAATTAATCCAATTTTACAGATGATGTTTACCTTCGCTCAGATGTACTTCATTTTCGTTAATGCACGGGTGAGATAACCTTACACCTTTCCCATATTAAGTTTAAAAGCGGCTGATAACTAATATAAGCGTATTTGTTTTCAAACATCGAGGAATACAGTATTATCAAAGTTTAAATAAAAAGTTTAATATAAAAATAGCCTTAGTTGACAAATTTTATACTTGTTTCTGCGATTTTATTAAAAATTTTTTTAATAAATAGAGATAAAAATTGTAAACCAAATAAAATTAATAAAAGGAATAGAATGTTTTATATAAATCAAATAGTTATCGTGACTTTTACTATATAATATATGAAGTTCGCTTTATATTTGTTATTTGAACCGTGAAGACAAATGGACCGTTAATTTCGATAAGATAAATGATATATAATTTAGAAATATAATTTTAAAAATATTTTTACATTAAAATATACGGGATTAATATAATTTATGAACTTATTAATTAGTTTAGGTTAAAAATAAACAATAATCGTAACTTTAAATCAACTTTTAAATTTTATTTCAAAATATTGAATTATCGATTTTTATAATTCATATAAAAATTTGAAATTATTAAATCGATAATTCGATTAATAGAATATATTGATTTTCTACATTTTTATTTCAAATTCATTATTTTCTAGTTAAACATCCACAAATTTAAAGTTTTGGCTAGGTTTGGTCTCATGCATGTAGTAGCTACCAACATCTGCGTTTGGATTAGAACGTTAGGCAAGGAAACTCTGCAAGAAATAGCTGATCATCAATTAAAAACTGGAAAAGGTAGCAGTTTAGAAGAGCTTATTCTTCCTTTTAGAGGTGAATGTTCTTTCTATTGTAATATAAAGTGTTAAAATAAGAAAATTAAATTTTCTTAGAAAATCCTAATTATTTTTTATATAATTTCAGAGAATTATACTGGCAATCGAAGTAATCCATGCCTGAAGCATGATATTATGGGATCAATAGTTTCTGATTCGTCTCCATTTCTTTATCCATTTATTGTAGAATATAGCCTGATAGGAGCGGCTGTTCTTTACGTAATGTGGAAAAATATCGGCAAAGATCCAATTTTTCAAGTAGAAGCAAATAGCGAAGACGGAATATCTAGGACTTCTAGCTCTCAATCAGTACGTTCAGTTAATTGTGCAGGATCCAGTAAAGGGCTCTTCTTCGGGTTGTTGATGTTGGTTGCAGCTACCATTTGTTTGATTGTCTTCTTTGTCCTAATTCAGCATAATAAGTATAATTTACTCGCAATCTATCTATCAGATTTATCTCACGGAGCAATTATGATCTTGACTATTTTTGCAATTATTATCGGTTTCTACAGAGTCCGGTCTCTGCGTTTTCAATCTGATCGCCACGATCATCTAAGAGAAATTTTACTAAGAATAGCAGCTTTTGGTCTATACATGTATGCTATGTTTAGTATAATTGCTGGTTCTCTGTCTGCTATGGATCACACTCCTAATCTTCTAGTTATGGTCACTAGTGGATTGACTATAATTCAAGTAACTTTACAATCATTGTTTATTGCTGAAGTCACATGCCGTACTACATATTTACCCGAACATGATCAAACCAAACCTGGAAGACAAGTAGTAACATTTTTATTAATGGGTAACATGACTTTGTGGATAATATACACTTTTGAGATGCAAAAAGTAGAAGCCAGCCCAGTACAATTAGGTTTTTACGGATTTTTAGCATGGTCAATTATAATCCGCGCAACACTTCCTTTAAGCATTCTCTATCGGTTTCATTCTTCCATAACGTTTGCGGAGATATGGAAGAATTCTTATAAAGCTGTTGCTTCATGATCGATCAGTTCCTGTTTTATAATTTTTTATCTTTATAAAAAATCAAGAGCAAGCAATTTGTGATCGGACCAGATCGAAACACGTAAAGAAGAGCAATAGAAAATTAATTGATTAATGTTAATGTTTCTGCTCTTGCAGCTATCATTTTTAAAGAAAGTATTTCAAAGGAGATTTTTCAAACTAATGTATCAAGATTTTGTGATATTTTATATGCATAATTTTTTCCATACGTTTTGTTTTGATAAAACTATGAAGGGCAAATAACATTCCGAAATATCATTTTACAAGAAACTGAAGCATTTAACAGCATACATAATTATTTCAAATAAATGTATAGATATTATGTAGATTATAGAGGCTAGATATGTAAAAAGTAAGATTTTTCGATTGATTTACTGAAATCTGTACAAGTATTTGTGTATAGTAGGTTATGTAGAATGAATATTATTGTAGAATAATATATGAAAGAAAAAATTCACTTAACAAAGCTAAGCTTGCGCACAACAAAAGTTTTAAAACTTCGTTAACAGATGGCAGCATCGATATAATATAGATTAAAAGCTAAATTGTTCGTTAACAACGTCTGTTTGAAATCATCTCATAAAGTTTATTTATAGTCTATTGTATGTAACCAGATAGTGTAAAAGTTCTAAAAAAACCTTTATATGCCTTTGTCATAAATATGAACAAATCATCTGCATAATTTTTAAAAGTTTGAATACTTTACACTGTAAATTAATTATTTCTGACTTTTAAAAAATTTATTAGCTAAAACTTTTAAAAAAGGGATATATTAATACAGATCTGTGCCATGTGAATATTTATAATAGCTTTTATATATAGTTTGTATACTTTTGTATTGTGATACTTTTCATACCGTATGTAGTTATTATAAAATGATTTTAAAGTATGTTATCTATGTCACCTGAAATATAAAATTTNAAAAAAAAAAACCCTTCGAAAAATATAACATAAAAACAATAGCCTCTTCGCTATTATTGTAATAATAAATGTTAAATCATGGGATAGCTAGCTTTGAGGATACTTGTGTTATTATTAACGAAATATTATATATACATGTATTTTAATTTAAAAGAAATTAGTTCTTACGCTATACAATATCATAAATAAAAATTGTAATTGATATAATAAAAGTTAAATTAATGATCCTTGTTTGCATTAATTTGGTAAAATAATTACATTATTACAATTTGTACACGAGCATTCAAGATAAATTATTTATTAAACGTGCTTTAGCATAACGATCGCATCTCGTCAGACAACGGTGAACATAAAAAAAAAAGAAATAAAGTAGAGCATGCTCAGTAAACGTTATCAACGGTCGGTGAGAGTCGGGTCTAGGTGACAAACCTCGTTGATGTAGGACATTAGCATGGCCTGGAGTAAAAAACAATTATTGCTATTTATATTTCGAGTTAAGACAAATTGAATACAGGTTAATCAGTCGTTTATACATGATATTGAAATGGAAATTTTATATTTTAGGACACAACAGTTTATTATGATGAGTTCTATGTATGCCCAACTTTTGGTAGTCATTTGTGTGGTATTTTTTACATCGGAAATCGTAACTCCTCATGTACCTTTATTTTACTTTGAGGTAAGTTTTAGACATATTTTCTACTTAAATATTAATTTCATTTCTATAAATTAATCTTATTATATTCTGTTATAGGGATTTTATATGTTTCTTTATTCCGTGAGTTTGTTGTTTTTGTTCTACGTGTATATTTATCTACTGAGAGATCCGCATATAGGCCTACCGAGTACACACATGACTTATAATTTTAATGACTTATTTTTGCTTATTATTTTTGACCACTTAATTCGTCATAAACTAAAAATACAATGTTAAATAATAAATACAAAAAAAATTAATTTTTTATAATTAGGTTATTTTTTATTTTAAAATATTGAAGTTTAATAACATTTAATTAGTAATATTAAAACATTTTGTGACATTACTCATTTACTTATCATAACGCGTGTTCATTTCAGAAAGATCTTGTAAATTTATTACATCTATTTAGAACATTGCAGATCCATAATAAGATCTCAATAGCCGAGATCGTATAATGTTATAGGCTGTTATTTCAAGCTGTTTACGTATGTAATGCTCTTCTTAAATTATGTCTTTTGGTTATTTATTCTACTTTATAAATCTAAGATTTAAATCTTAACGCGTTTCTTAACACACAGTTTATTGTTTATTTATTACACTATAGCTTAGTATTCAACTAAAATATACAATGAAATTTAAAATTAAAACAGAAAACATGGAATTGAAAAATACAGTATATATATAATTTTAGTTGTTAAGATTTATTCCTTTAAATTGAGCCTACGGTCAAAAATAAAAATAAATATTTAAATCTAATATTATGTGTATAAATTAAATCTTAAAAAGTTATTAGAAGCTTCTATTGTTAAATGCAGATAATTTTAATTACATACAAGTACTGTATATTGTAAATTTAGCGCAAAATTCTAACTCATTTCACTTCTAAGGATATAAAATACCAATAAAACGAATCAATTTGTTCTCAATTTATTGCCATTAAATTGAAAATATCGAATAATTTATTCGATATTTTCTGTTTAATGGCAATAAAATATTAGACCATTGACATAAGAGCAAACAAAGTCTTGTAAAAAATATCTTAATAAAATAAATTTCATTTTCTTTTATTTTTATAAGCAGACGAATTAATTACAGTATATGAAAGTCTGTTTACCTTACTAGTGAAACACAATAGTCATTGAACAATAACGAAATTTTATCTTAAGAGTGTAATGAGCTGAAAGAATGTGTAATAAATTGAGGTAGTAATTACCAAAAGATAAAGCAGAATCAGTCGTAAACATGTTTTCGTTGTCCTATTAGAAATATTTGATTGAATGAATATATACTGTACTATACCTTTTTTCTTAAACATTTAACTAATTCTAAGTAAATTAAAATAGAAAATGGTTTTGAAATTAATAAAATTCTATTATTTTCTGTTATTTAGTAATTAAATTCGAAATTGATTCAAATACAGAGTATTGAAGTTTAATCTTAACTTTTATCGATTCGAATTTTAATTTTACGTATCAATAAATGATAATATAATTAAGACAGATCTTTCTTAATTAATGTAGTAAAGTAAAATGCATGATTTTAAAGTAACATTTATTTTATTAAATTTTTAAATTATATTAATTAACAATTTTATAAAGAAATTTACTGATCGTCCATTTATGATATTATAAAATCTATAGACAGAAATACGAATATTTAACATTATAACATTATATAAAAATAGTATGTACTGTACAATACTTATTATGTTGATATACTGTACATTTCTTTATTTAATTTTTTCACATATATATTGTTAAATAAATTACTCTCTGTGTGGATTTGCTATCAAATATATTGTAAAGTAAAACTTGAATAGTTTATATATTACATTATTTTTAATGATAAACATATGACATAATTGAAAAATTTAACCTGAAAAGTGATGGATATTTCAATTNAATAACCGAAAAATCACCGAAATTAGAAGTAGGAGATGGTCCAATTCCACCTCGGTTAAAAAAACATCGAGTTTCAGAAAATGACCGGAGTCACGGCAGCCTTTTTCTTAGAATCGGTGCCATTGGTGAGTTTCAGTTCGGATTAAAAGTACAACAATACAACTTCCGGTTGTCAAAGTTAACGTGCCACCTACTTTCTCTTTTCAGCATTCGGCTTGGGTACAATGGTCTATAATGGCTTGGAATTTGGATCTTTTTTCGAGTATCCATCTACGTCTCCTTGTTACAGCATCCTATTAGGAATTAATCCAATTTTACAGATGATGTTTACCTTCGCTCAGATGTACTTCATTTTCGTTAATGCACGGGTGAGATAACCTTACACCTTTCCCATATTAAGTTTAAAAGCGGCTGATAACTAATATAAGCGTATTTGTTTTCAAACATCGAGGAATACAGTATTATCAAAGTTTAAATAAAAAGTTTAATATAAAAATAGCCTTAGTTGACAAATTTTATACTTGTTTCTGCGATTTTATTAAAAATTTTTTTAATAAATAGAGATAAAAATTGTAAACCAAATAAAATTAATAAAAGGAATAGAATGTTTTATATAAATCAAATAGTTATCGTGACTTTTACTATATAATATATGAAGTTCGCTTTATATTTGTTATTTGAACCGTGAAGACAAATGGACCGTTAATTTCGATAAGATAAATGATATATAATTTAGAAATATAATTTTAAAAATATTTTTACATTAAAATATACGGGATTAATATAATTTATGAACTTATTAATTAGTTTAGGTTAAAAATAAACAATAATCGTAACTTTAAATCAACTTTTAAATTTTATTTCAAAATATTGAATTATCGATTTTTATAATTCATATAAAAATTTGAAATTATTAAATCGATAATTCGATTAATAGAATATATTGATTTTCTACATTTTTATTTCAAATTCATTATTTTCTAGTTAAACATCCACAAATTTAAAGTTTTGGCTAGGTTTGGTCTCATGCATGTAGTAGCTACCAACATCTGCGTTTGGATTAGAACGTTAGGCAAGGAAACTCTGCAAGAAATAGCTGATCATCAATTAAAAACTGGAAAAGGTAGCAGTTTAGAAGAGCTTATTCTTCCTTTTAGAGGTGAATGTTCTTTCTATTGTAATATAAAGTGTTAAAATAAGAAAATTAAATTTTCTTAGAAAATCCTAATTATTTTTTATATAATTTCAGAGAATTATACTGGCAATCGAAGTAATCCATGCCTGAAGCATGAATATTAAAATGATTATTATATATACTATTACATTGTTACATCATGTAATTTATAAGATACCGATATCAATTAAAAATTTATATACAACTTTAATCTACTTTCAGAAATAAATCGTTACTATAAGGAAAATAAAGTATTGCACTTTGGCTAATTATTTTTACCTTTCTCTTCGGACGATCATTTATAAAGATAATAATTGGATGTTTGTTACTTTATCATTAAATCAAAATGTATTTATCTAAAGATCTGAATGGACAATGCACTTGAAACTGTAAAAAAAAAAAAACCCTTCGAAAAATATAACATAAAAACAATAGCCTCTTCGCTATTATTGTAATAATAAATGTTAAATCATGGGATAGCTAGCTTTGAGGATACTTGTGTTATTATTAACGAAATATTATATATACATGTATTTTAATTTAAAAGAAATTAGTTCTTACGCTATACAATATCATAAATAAAAATTGTAATTGATATAATAAAAGTTAAATTAATGATCCTTGTTTGCGTTAATTTGGTAAAATAATTACATTATTACAATTTGTACACGAGCATTCAAGATAAATTATTTATTAAACGTGCTTTAGCATAACGATCGCATCTCGTCAGACAACGGTGAACATAAAAAAAAAAGAAATAAAGTAGAGCATGCTCAGTAAACGTTATCAACGGTCGGTGAGAGTCGGGTCTAGGTGACAAACCTCGTTGATGTAGGACATTAGCATGGCCTGGAGTAAAAAACAATTATTGCTATTTATATTTCGAGTTAAGACAAATTGAATACAGGTTAATCAGTCGTTTATACATGATATTGAAATGGAAATTTTATATTTTAGGACACAACAGTTTATTATGATGAGTTCTATGTATGCCCAACTTTTGGTAGTCATTTGTGTGGTATTTTTTACATCGGAAATCGTAACTCCTCATGTACCTTTATTTTACTTTGAGGTAAGTTTTAGACATATTTTCTACTTAAATATTAATTTCATTTCTATAAATTAATCTTATTATATTCTGTTATAGGGATTTTATATGTTTCTTTATTCCGTGAGTTTGTTGTTTTTGTTCTACGTGTATATTTATCTACTGAGAGATCCGCATATAGGCCTACCGAGTACACACATGAAATCTAGCAAACTTAGTATTTTGGATAGTTTGAAGAAAATAACCGAAAAATCACCGAAATTAGAAGTAGGAGATGGTCCAATTCCACCTCGGTTAAAAAAACATCGAGTTTCAGAAAATGACCGGAGTCACGGCAGCCTTTTTCTTAGAATCGGTGCCATTGGTGAGTTTCAGTTCGGATTAAAAGTACAACAATACAACTTCCGGTTGTCAAAGTTAACGTGCCACCTACTTTCTCTTTTCAGCATTCGGCTTGGGTACAATGGTCTATAATGGCTTGGAATTTGGATCTTTTTTCGAGTATCCATCTACGTCTCCTTGTTACAGCATCCTATTAGGAATTAATCCAATTTTACAGATGATGTTTACCTTCGCTCAGATGTACTTCATTTTCGTTAATGCACGGGTGAGATAACCTTACACCTTTCCCATATTAAGTTTAAAAGCGGCTGATAACTAATATAAGCGTATTTGTTTTCAAACATCGAGGAATACAGTATTATCAAAGTTTAAATAAAAAGTTTAATATAAAAATAGCCTTAGTTGACAAATTTTATACTTGTTTCTGCGATTTTATTAAAAATTTTTTTAATAAATAGAGATAAAAATTGTAAACCAAATAAAATTAATAAAAGGAATAGAATGTTTTATATAAATCAAATAGTTATCGTGACTTTTACTATATAATATATGAAGTTCGCTTTATATTTGTTATTTGAACCGTGAAGACAAATGGACCGTTAATTTCGATAAGATAAATGATATATAATTTAGAAATATAATTTTAAAAATATTTTTACATTAAAATATACGGGATTAATATAATTTATGAACTTATTAATTAGTTTAGGTTAAAAATAAACAATAATCGTAACTTTAAATCAACTTTTAAATTTTATTTCAAAATATTGAATTATCGATTTTTATAATTCATATAAAAATTTGAAATTATTAAATCGATAATTCGATTAATAGAATATATTGATTTTCTACATTTTTATTTCAAATTCATTATTTTCTAGTTAAACATCCACAAATTTAAAGTTTTGGCTAGGTTTGGTCTCATGCATGTAGTAGCTACCAACATCTGCGTTTGGATTAGAACGTTAGGCAAGGAAACTCTGCAAGAAATAGCTGATCATCAATTAAAAACTGGAAAAGGTAGCAGTTTAGAAGAGCTTATTCTTCCTTTTAGAGGTGAATGTTCTTTCTATTGTAATATAAAGTGTTAAAATAAGAAAATTAAATTTTCTTAGAAAATCCTAATTATTTTTTATATAATTTCAGAGAATTATACTGGCAATCGAAGTAATCCATGCCTGAAGCATGATATTATGGGATCAATAGTTTCTGATTCGTCTCCATTTCTTTATCCATTTATTGTAGAATATAGCCTGATAGGAGCGGCTGTTCTTTACGTAATGTGGAAAAATATCGGCAAAGATCCAATTTTTCAAGTAGAAGCAAATAGCGAAGACGGAATATCTAGGACTTCTAGCTCTCAATCAGTACGTTCAGTTAATTGTGCAGGATCCAGTAAAGGGCTCTTCTTCGGGTTGTTGATGTTGGTTGCAGCTACCATTTGTTTGATTGTCTTCTTTGTCCTAATTCAGCATAATAAGTATAATTTACTCGCAATCTATCTATCAGATTTATCTCACGGAGCAATTATGATCTTGACTATTTTTGCAATTATTATCGGTTTCTACAGAGTCCGGTCTCTGCGTTTTCAATCTGATCGCCACGATCATCTAAGAGAAATTTTACTAAGAATAGCAGCTTTTGGTCTATACATGTATGCTATGTTTAGTATAATTGCTGGTTCTCTGTCTGCTATGGATCACACTCCTAATCTTCTAGTTATGGTCACTAGTGGATTGACTATAATTCAAGTAACTTTACAATCATTGTTTATTGCTGAAGTCACATGCCGTACTACATATTTACCCGAACATGATCAAACCAAACCTGGAAGACAAGTAGTAACATTTTTATTAATGGGTAACATGACTTTGTGGATAATATACACTTTTGAGATGCAAAAAGTAGAAGCCAGCCCAGTACAATTAGGTTTTTACGGATTTTTAGCATGGTCAATTATAATCCGCGCAACACTTCCTTTAAGCATTCTCTATCGGTTTCATTCTTCCATAACGTTTGCGGAGATATGGAAGAATTCTTATAAAGCTGTTGCTTCATGATCGATCAGTTCCTGTTTTATAATTTTTTATCTTTATAAAAAATCAAGAGCAAGCAATTTGTGATCGGACCAGATCGAAACACGTAAAGAAGAGCAATAGAAAATTAATTGATTAATGTTAATGTTTCTGCTCTTGCAGCTATCATTTTTAAAGAAAGTATTTCAAAGGAGATTTTTCAAACTAATGTATCAAGATTTTGTGATATTTTATATGCATAATTTTTTCCATACGTTTTGTTTTGATAAAACTATGAAGGGCAAATAACATTCCGAAATATCATTTTACAAGAAACTGAAGCATTTAACAGCATACATAATTATTTCAAATAAATGTATAGATATTATGTAGATTATAGAGGCTAGATATGTAAAAAGTAAGATTTTTCGATTGATTTACTGAAATCTGTACAAGTATTTGTGTATAGTAGGTTATGTAGAATGAATATTATTGTAGAATAATATATGAAAGAAAAAATTCACTTAACAAAGCTAAGCTTGCGCACAACAAAAGTTTTAAAACTTCGTTAACAGATGGCAGCATCGATATAATATAGATTAAAAGCTAAATTGTTCGTTAACAACGTCTGTTTGAAATCATCTCATAAAGTTTATTTATAGTCTATTGTATGTAACCAGATAGTGTAAAAGTTCTAAAAAAACCTTTATATGCCTTTGTCATAAATATGAACAAATCATCTGCATAATTTTTAAAAGTTTGAATACTTTACACTGTAAATTAATTATTTCTGACTTTTAAAAAATTTATTAGCTAAAACTTTTAAAAAAGGGATATATTAATACAGATCTGTGCCATGTGAATATTTATAATAGCTTTTATATATAGTTTGTATACTTTTGTATTGTGATACTTTTCATACCGTATGTAGTTATTATAAAATGATTTTAAAGTATGTTATCTATGTCACCTGAAATATAAAATTTGTTTTTATGTATTAAAATGTGTACTTAATTTTTTACACTGTTTTTATTTGAAAATTTTTATAATCATAATGCTTAAAATATATCTTAGTATTAATATCTAAAGACAGTTGAAAACATTCCACCAGATTAAACACTCGATACACATAAAATTATTTACATTCTTTACCTTAAATTTTTTAATATTGAATGCAGAAGGTTATAATAATTACGTATATAAAATCTTAACGAGTGTTTCTTTTTGAATTTCTCCTGATTTTAAACATTAAAACATTTTAGAACGTTCTATAAAACGGTTATATCATACACTTGATAACAAGTACTCTACAAAAATTAGTATAAACGACACACAATTTAATTTATTTAAATTTTTTACTATATATTTTTTAATTAAACAAGTTAATCACAAAAAGTTCAAAAACTGATTGTATTAATAGTAATAAAAAATTTTCTTTTAAAATTATCTCACTAACATTGTATTGAATTATATTATTATATTATATATCTAAATTCATATTGCATAGAAATCAACTGCAAAATGAAAAAAAAATGAAAAAGATTTTATGAATTGGTAAAGTAGTATAACATTCTTATTAGTAATATTATTTAAATTTGACATTATTAACTGAAAAATATGACAATTAGATTAGGAAAATAAAATATTAGCAAAAAAATAATGTTAAAATATTTCATTTAAAAAAAGAAAACAGGTTCAATTTTTATCAAAAGATTTTGAAATAAAAAAAACACTTATTTTTTATCATGTTTAAATTGTTTTACTGTTTGTTTATTTATTATTTTTTGTACTGTTTATTTAAGCAAAATTAATTCCAATAAATTTAGTGAATGCTGTATATTAAAGCACGCTTTCTGGATGAAGTAATTTCCATAATGGAAAATTTTTCACTTCTAGAAAACATATATATATTTGTGATTTTCACTTTAAATGTTTATATATCGTAAAGTCTTTGCAAATCCGCACTTAAAATGTAAATTTTAATATTGGCGGTAGACTATCACACAGCTTTAGCCAATGATTTCACTTTATTCTATTACTATAGATGCATTTCGGTCCTTTTCTAAAAAAGGTCCCTCTTCAGTACTATAAAATACAAAAGTTTACATAAACTTTTTCTGCAAGTAAATATTTAACATAACAATAAATATTTTAGTATTACAATACCATTTGAGTACACAGTTTTATTTATACATCCCTT